TGTCTCTGCCCACAGTGCTCCCCAGGGCCCCAGGGCAATAGAGCTAGACCGATCAGTGCAAAATATGCGATGGGGCAATTGGGAGACTGACAGGGTTCTCAGTTTTCAATGGCACAACAGATCATGAAAAAGTTTGTAACCAATTTGTTTTTAATTTTAATGAATTTTTGAATGACAGCAAATTACAGGGAGTGGAAAGAAAGATTGCTGAAAAAAACGTCAGTGAAAGTGCTATTGTTGATGCACTTTTTGAAAATGCCTTTTAAGTTGCAGTTTCCATTTGAATGTTTTTTCACAAATGGAGCACTGAAATGGTCGAGAGTCGCTGTGAACTGTTTGGTGTTTCTTGAGATTACCTTTTTGCCCAAATGATTTGGAGCAAATTGTGCATTTGTGAGCTCGAATGCCTGTGTGCACCAGTTGGTGCCGCTTGAGTTCACCCTTTAGCCCAAATGATTTGGAGCATGTTGGGCACTTGTGCGCTTTAATGCCAGTGTGGACAAGCTGATGCCTTTTGAGATGTTTCTCTAGCCCAAATGATTTAGAGCAAATTGTACACTTGTGCGCTTTAATGCCAGTGTGAACAAGCTGGTGTTCTTTGAGATGACCTTTTAGCCCAAATGACTTGGAGCATGTTGGGCACTGATGAGCCCGAATGTTAGTATGAACAAGTTGGTGTGTTTTAAGTTTAGATGGAGCTGGAAAGCTTTTGTCGCACTGCTGACACTTGTGGGTTTTAGGTCTTCTTCGACGACCATTCAGCTGTTGTTCACCTGATGCACTGCTTGAGCTACGGGTGACCACTGGTTCGGTGTTTTGCTGAGGTTCTGCAGAATGAAATGTGTGAATATAAAGAGCCAAACAAGCACTGTCCACTCACCACTGACTGCTGAATGATCATCATCATCAATTTCAGTGGCATCCGAATCAGTTTCGTGTTCTTCGTTGGCTGCATCGTTTGTTCCATTGGCATTTGTTTTAGCAGAAAAATCCTGTTCCATAATCAAATGAAACTCATCATCGAACATATCAATCGTAGTCTCATTTTGACCTTCAGTTTTCACCACAGATTCAGTTGACTGGGCTTCTAAACAAAAGTAACATACATGAGTAAAGAATAAAATCTCAACAAAAATAATCATCCACTTACCATTAACTGCTGGCTGATCAACACCTTCCTCATCATGGTCATCAGTCTCCGAATCTTCTTCTTCTTCTTCTTTCACGACCACTTCTTCATTTTCACCTTCTTCATACACACAATCCAACTCATCGTCGTACATATCATTAGCTCCAGACGGCTTCTCAAGATTGGACATTTTCCGTGGATGGATACAGCAGATGAAAAAAAAGATTGTAGAGAAGAGCCACTGAAATGACTGTAAACAAAACAAAACAAACACAACTCAGCGGGACAAGCGCCACCACAGTGCTCCCCAGGGCCCTAGAGAGCAAGACCGGCTTATAGTGCAGTGCACTAATCCTCTCGAGTCCTACTTTTTGAAAAGAAAAAAAGCTGACAGCTTTCCCCAATTTTCAATGGCAATAGCGAGTTTCAATTTGAATATTTGAAAAGGGCGGGTTTTCAAGTAAAAAAATTAAAATGAAAAAACAAGCAAAACATTTGAGCAGCACCACCTCTCTCTTTACTCTGGTCACGCCTGGTTCAGTAGTTCGCTACACCTCGGTAAACTGCACCAACTTGGCGCCCTTGGCCACGCTGTCGCCCGCCTTGAAGAAGACCTGCTCGACGGTTCGAGTGGTGGTGGCTGCTTCTCCCGAATCATCCCCACCTCCAAAAGACGCCCTTATGACGTGCTCCATCTTCATGGCCGTCAGTATGGCAATGGTGTCCCCGGAGCGTACCACC